TACAACCATACAACATGTGGCTGGGGTATATTTGTATAGGTGTGTGTGTGTGTGTGTGTGTGTGTGTGTGTGTGTGTGTGTAGCCTCTGTCAGTCTGGCTGTGCCTGCCCCCTCCCACTGAGTCCTTCCTGACACTGTGGAGCTCAATCAGCAGCTGCATGAATACACTCAAATGGAAAGTTGTGCTCAGCTGACCGGAGAAATTGGAGCTGGGAATGTACTGCTACCCTCCTTCCAGACTCCCTCACCCCCTCCCCCTGAGGCCAGACAGCCATCCCACTGGGCTGGCTAGGACCAGGAAGGCTCAGTTTAGTTCAGCTGGGGCCCGGAAAGAGACCAGGCAGTGAGAGGTGAGGAGGCCCATGCTTCAGGACTTGTAAGCTGGGAGACTTGGCCTCAGTGCCCAGGGAGGACTTTGAAAAGCCTCAGAGGTGGTAGCCAGTACTCCAGGTGACAGCCATATAAGGTAGTATAGGAAGGTTGGGCAGCAAAGAAAGACACCCCCTGCTCTGGGGGAACTAGAGCCTGCCCAGTGCCCCACAGGCCTGATACTAGGACATTGGTTTAGTGATCCTTGTAAGGCACCCAGTTCAAAATGTGCCAGGCTGTTTGGTTCCATTTTTTAAAGAAGTACGTGGATGTCTGTGACAAACTGGTAGTGGATTGTTGGGAATCAGAGCTGCAGCCTCTCTGACTGAGCATCTCTGAATCCCAAACTACAATGTGCTGATGGAAATATAAGCTGGAGCTACTGCTCTGCCTACACACTCCCTCCAGCTTGGCCTGCCTAGGCCCTGATCTGCCTTCCCAGCTCTGCACTGGAACCAGCTGCAGGGCCAAAGCTGGGCCACTAGTCCCACCAACCCCAATCCCAGCCCTGCTACCAGGCTCACATGCCACCATTGCCCCCCTCCACTATTGATCAGCATCGCTGCCTGGCACTGTGGCAACTTCCAGGTCATTTCTTTTAAATCAGTCGTGCATCTCGACAGGGATAATCAACTTCACTGGCACTGGGCAGTTAATTTGGCAGGATTCAGAGGACAAGAAGGGGAGCTGAATAGGAGCTCTGAGGCAGGACTGGAGAAAAAGTGGGTAAAGAGGTGAGCACACCAAAAGGAGTAGTTGACCTATCTTTTCTCTGGCGGGGAGGGGGGGGACTCTAAGGGCAGAGTCTTTGATACAGATATTCACAGCTTCACAGTCCAATCCGCTGCTTGGGTTTCCAATGCAAATCCTAGATAGCCATTGTTTTTCTCTGAGGGATGCAGAGAGGAAGAAAATTGGCTGTTACTCCTCAGGCTGTGCACTCTAGAGCAGTGGTTCTCAAACTTCCTGACTCTGTGACCCTTTTATACAGTTCCTCGTGTTGTGATGACCCTCAACTATGGAATTACTTCATCGCTACTTACTGTCATTTTGCTACTGTTATGAATTGTAATATAAACATATATGACCCTAGGGGTAGCAGCCCACAGGTTGAGAATCTTAGAGCAAGCACCTGGGTGTATAGATGCCTGCACTGAGAAAGCTTTCAGCCAAATGCTCTGCAAGGGAAAGCAAGAAGTGCACAGTACACAGAGAAGCGGTCTCAACCCTCTGATGCCAAGGGGAGCCAGCCCTTTAGATGCTGTATGGCTCCCCTGGCCCAGGCACAGTTTGCTTCTCTCCCAGGAGGTTGGGGGTGACCTGGCTTTTGTACAAAGATAGCATCAGCATTGCTCTTCCATCCAGCTATGCTCCAACAATCCCATGGAACCTTGACTGATTTGGCCATAGTTCTGGGGGCTAGGAAGAAAATAGACAGGCACTAGGTAAAAGAGAGATCTGGCCCAAAATGGACCCCCCATTCCTTCTGTCATCTGTATGAACAGGCAAAGGCCAGATCCCCTGTAATAATGAATGTATCAAGGGAAAAGGTGAATGGAGAAAGCAATCTACCCACTCTAGCCAATGAACATCTGTTGTGGGTTCCCATGCCCCCCCCACACACATACTATTTCATAGAAGGACAGGAATATTCTTAGAAATGGAGACTGAGGCAGTCAAGTCAGGTTCCTGGACTGACTAGAATGAGTAAACATAGATGTCCACAAAAGAACTGAAATGCACCAGACACATGTTCTCTGGACAGAGAAAGCCCCTGCTAACAGCATCCTGTAGGTGTGCTGGAGCCACCGTGATATTCCTTGCAAGATTAGGAATTTGCAAACCATTCATTCCACACACAAGTACTATACCTAAGCTACGAAGCATGTATGAAAACCCACACTAGGCACATACCAATAAAGCATGCATGCATTTGTATCTAACACACACATACATATTTTTGTATGCAGAACTTGATGAAATGGTGAGGACCCAGCTTTCGGAGCAGCAGCACATATATGCCATGCACACCAGCCACACAGGAGACTTGTAGAACATGCAAATAACACAGCATTGGTATTTGTGGAAGACCTATGCAGAAACATAGGTGTGATTGACAGGGACCGCAGGCTGGTGACACCCAGCAGGGCACAGGCCCTCCAAAATGAGGGCGGCTTGCTTGCTGATGGGGTGCAGTGACTGTTTTCTTCAGTAGAGGAAGAGGCAACGAGTTGACCCAAACTTGCTTTTTCCCGCTGGCCATGATGACAGAAAGAAGGGTAATTCTCAAGTTTTTCTCTTTGTCCTCACACAAAAAGCCCCCTGCTCCTGATGTCACTAGGTCTAGTTTGTTCCTGAAGTCACTCTGAAGCAGCGATAGCCCATTCCCTCCACCCCTCAGCTGTGCTTCGTTGACCGCCCTGGGTCCGACCACATTGTCTATACGGAGGTAGCCATTTCTTTTAGGTTGAAAGTACCAAGCTCTGGGTCAAGTATGTGAGGAGAAGGCGACAGAATGGAGGTCCAAGCCTGATGGGTTTTAGATCGCCTCTTCCCAATCTCCTGGCGATGTCAGAAATATGGCTGTAGTGGAGTGTTTCTACGGGCAGTGGGCACACACACACAGATTCTGACATTGCGTACCAGGCTGGCTGGGGAGTGGGCTGGATGCCCTGGTTCTAAGAAGGGACCTCCTAAGAAACCCTCCGCCACATGGAAGCGCATGCGCTATTATGCTCCTAGGGCACCTCCAGGCCAGTCAGACCTTCTGCCCAAGCCGGCCCGGCCCACGTAAATCCCCCTGGTGCTGCGGGGAATAAAGACAAAAGGAAATCGGAAGTCGAAATTAGTTTAGAAGCGGGCGCGAAATTCTAGGCTCTTTTCTCTAATCCTCCTAGTTTGGAAATTGAACTTTCAAGTGAAGGCAAGTTTTCTGAAATTACCTCTTTGGGCCCTCCTCGAGCGCAAGCCGCCCTGGCCCAGGGCCGCAGAACCGCTTCCTACCAGCCCCAGCCATCCTTGGGAGCTGTGTAGCCACAGCCGCCCAGTGAAGCTTGGGGCCAGCAGAGGAACGCGGTTGGTAAGGGGCAGTGTTTTTGTTTTTTGTTTTGTTTTGTTTTGTTTCGGGTTTAACTTGCAACCCAACCAAAGTCCCTTAGAAGCTGAAGGGACTCCGGGTGATCCCAAAAGACAAGAGAAAACAAATTTCAGATAGATCCAGACTCTTAAGGCAAGTGACCTTGTCAGACAAGGAAGGGTGTTGGTGAAGAGGGGAGGGAAGAGCACCCTGATTTTAGGCCCTGCAGTCAGAAAACTACCTCCTTCTTCCCTTCCCCTGTCCTTCCCACCCGGGCCATAGTTAACTATTTTACACCTCCTCCTTAAAAAGAGGGGGGAAAGGGGGGGGGGACAGCGAAGACAAAATTTCAACTATGTTCAGGATGGATGCTTGGGTTAGGGGACGTTGTGTGCTTCTCCTTTTCAAAAAGCAAAGCAACAACCAGAAAGCTACCAAAACATCCTAAGGACCCACAAGAGCCGCAGGACGCTGCAATCCCAGGGCAAAGCGTTTCCGGGGAGGGTTCAGGCCTGACATCTTGGAAGAAACTAGTTGTAACCCCCTTCCCTCCAACCTTCTCCGCCTTTCTCTCAGGGTGCTGCTCGGGCTTGCTTCCCAAGCAAGTGTTTGTTCCCAGTTTTCCACTCAACTTCCAGAGAAATCTCGGACCCAGCCTTGACATCCTTCCCGCAGGCTCTGACGGCTGCAGAGCTAGAGAGAGCAAGCGCGAGCCTGGGCCGCTGTACCCTGGAACTTTCGGCCTGGGAGGACACAAACACCAGTCTCTGGGAGTGATAAGAAAATGGAGAATACTGTATTTGCTTTAGAAAGTTTTTACATATAGATAAACACGCAGTTAAGATAACAGTAAAAGCGCCCTACGGGAGTGTACGAGGCCACCGAAGCGGCTAGGCAAAACTTGAATAGCTTTTGCATAAGAATACTACGGCCTCACTCTGCCTTCGCTAGCGAGAGGGTCCCTCTCCCGCCCTAACCCTGGCCACCTCGCCAAGCCTCGACTACTAAGTCGATGCCAGGAACCCCAAGTGGGAGGAGAAACCCCCAAAAGGAAAGAGGTGAGTGAACAGGGAAGGAGGGAAGTAGAGAGGAGGGAGAGGAAAAAAAAAGCAGGTATCATATACAAGCAATTTCTACACATATATTACAAACTGGGAAAATGACCGATCATTAAGATATACATAATTCATATAAAATTTTGAAATAAAAATAAAAATCTGTTACAGTCATAACTATTCTTTTTCCACATTTATAACCAGTACCCACACAGGCAGTGACAGAGTGGAGAGAAAAGGTGCTTACGAAGAAAATGATTGTCTGCTGAACAAAAAACAAAAGGTCCTATCGTGTTTGACCAAAACTTGGACTTAAAAACAGAGAGAGAGAGAGAGAGAGAGAGAGAGAGAGAGAGAGAGGGAGGGAGGGAGAGATAGATAGATAAAGGAGAAAAGAGAGCAACAGAAGGAAGAAACATTTGCTATTTCTCTCGAGGAGTTTTTTCTTTCGTTCTTTTTCTTTCCTTTTTAAAAAACAATTTCAGAACGGAGATGTCAGATTGTTTTTTTCCTTTTTGTCTGTTTGCTTTTGTCGTCTCGTCGTCACGGCGGTGGTTTTTGTATGGTCGACTCCTTAAATCGTTTTAAACTAGAGAGAATATTTTCCCAGATACAAATAAATCGTCATGCAGGTGGGGTGCCGGGTCCGTGGGAACCAAAAGGAGAAACCGTGCTTGTCCTGGAAAGTATACAATTGTCACCTCTTTTATGTTTTCTGCCCGCAACGTCGGCGTTTGTGACTGTCTGGTGGCGTCGCGGTCCTTTGGGGTGGCTGTGGTGGTAGTTGGTGGGGGGGGGGTTGTTGATGGTTTGAGGTTAATTTATTTTTCTTGTTCATATATATATATATATATATTTGGCTGGGGTGGGAGTGTATATGGACGTGCGTGTGTGTGTGTGTGTGTGTGTGTGTGTGTGTGTGTGTGTGTGTGTGTGTGTGTGTATCCTGATTTCGGTTTGTTCTAGGGATGAAGCAGAAGGAAGAGGAGCAGGGATAAGAGGAGGAGGGGAAGGTGAAGAGGGAGGAGGGGAAGGAGGAAGAGGGCGGCCTTGGCTATCATACATCACATTCCGAGTCGCTGGAGGTTACCGAGAGGATGGAAGTGCCGGTGTCCGCGCGCTCCGTCAGGCTGGACACGCTGGTGGTGGGGCTGGCCGCCGTGGACGGCGACTCTGCCGAGCCGTGCGTGGGGCAGCCAGGCTCGGCCAGCGAGCGCATGCCACTCGGTCCGATGGCCTGATGCTGGAGCCTGCGGGAAAGAGAGAGCCGTGCTCGCCCTGACTCAGAGGCCCACCACCCTGCTCCCCTGGCTCGCATTGAGGGGAGCTTGGCCCGACTGGACCCTCACTCCTACCTCCAGCGTCCGTTCTCTAGCCATCGCCCCCGACAGCGCTTTGTGTTCTCCCAGGCACCCAGCTGCTAACTCCCAGAGTACTGGGGAGCTTTCCTAACCCAAGTCCCGGCTCCTTGGCTTAGGGAAGCATTCTAGATAGGGACAGCCTTAAAGAAAGAATTGAACCCCAAGCCAGCCGCCTGCGGAGAGTTGAGCAGGCGGCAAGGGACCTTGCTTGAGCCCAGGACCAGCAAGACAGTGGGAAAGAGCTTCGCTCTTCTTCTGAAACCCCAAGGCCCGCTGCCTGGAGACCCAGACTGCCCAGCTTTCCCAAACATACATCCAGAGCTGCAGGGACAGGAGGGGGGTTTCTCCCAAGAGTTCCCACCGTTTTACTTCCTGAGTCCCTATGCGGAGAGCGCAGGATCCGGGGAAGAGAAAATAGGGAGGTGGAAACTAGAAGATGGGGGTGGGGGGAGAAGCAAGAAAAAGGGGAGAAAGAGAAGGCAGAAAGAAAGCATAGATTGTCTCTTTTCTGGGCAAAAAAAGCAGTTGCCTGAGCCTAGTGTCTGCCCTTAAGGAAGCCTTTTCCCTGGTCCTGGGTGCTTCCCCCATCTGACGAAAAGTGACCTCCACGGACAGAGATGAGAGGCAGGTGGCCTCAGGCCTGGACCACCTAAAGTCGCACATACTCCAGGCACTTACTCACTCTAAGCCTCCAGCCACCAGCAGCTGTCAGCAGCTGGGGTGCCAGCTCCTTGCAGGGTCCCAGGCCTAGTGCCTTTCTAACTGAGCAAGGCTCTGGATCAGAGCTTTTGCTTACCCCCACCCCTCACCCTCGCTTCTCCCTTCCATTTGGACTCATTTTCTCTAGCTTCTCTCCCTTTCCTACGGATTTTTCTTCTAACCCAGCTTTAAGTAAGAATCAACCAGAACCAAAACAATTCCATGACTCTGTAACCAACTTGCTTGCTACAGAGCTGCACCTGCTGGATGTTTGCTTCCCCACTAAAGCGAGTGCACTAAAGGGATGGATGCGCCTTAACTGAGGCCATCCAGAGACTTAGCACTTGAGCAACACCAGGAGTGGACACACTTTTGTGAACACATCAATTTAAACACACTAGGCCTCTTCACGCCCAGTCTGTGTTCCCTGTTCAGGGTCCCAGAATGAAGCTCGCTGGATTGTGGCCACGGGGCCTTCTTCCCTTTGTGGCAGGAACCTAGGTCCATTTCCCCCTCTTTGCCGCTACTGGGCCTCTCTAAGGCTACCCCCCTTACAATGCATAGATATAATCAGATAGCAAATAGAGTTTTCCTTTCCTCCCATCCTTATAGCTGGAGCCAGGGCTGAGGAAAGCCACCAGGGGACTAAGGCACCATGGGTAGAGGACACTAGAGAGGCATAGTTCCGGCCCTGATAAAATGCCCCTCTTGGGCAAAGCAGTCTATAAACACTGTCTGTGGTTCCCTGTTCCAGGACAACCCCAAACTTTCTCCAACTACCCAGAGAGTTCCAGCTTCTCCAGCTTTGGGTCATCTGCCCCTACCACTCCAGGATCGCCTGCATTTCAACTCATGTCTCCTTCCCCAACCCCGGAGGCCCTGGCCCAGCCGCGGTCCCCGCCACTGACCTGTTCTTGGCTGCCGCAGCGCGATCGCGTTGTCGCCGGTTCTTAAACCAGTTGCCTACTTGTGTGGGAGTGAGGCCGGTGGCCTGCGCCAGTTCGCGTTTCTTGCTGGGGTTGGGGTAGGGATCCTGCAGGTACCACTCCCGCAGCAGGCTCCGAGTCCGCTCCTTGAAGCAATGAGTCTTCTGCTCGCCGTCCCAGATGGTACGCGGCAGCGGGAACTTCTTGCGCACGCGGTACTTGTCCACTGGGCCGAGGGGGCGGCCGCGCAGCTTCTCGGCCTCCTGGTAGTGTGCCTCGAGCCACATGGCCTGCAGCTTGCCGTGAGACTCTTTGGTGAACTTGTGGTTCTCCAGGATGTGGTACAGGTCGCGGAAGTTGCCGGTGTGGAAGGCAACGACGGCGCGCGCGCGCAGGATCGACTCGTGTTTGTTGATGGCCTCGCACGCCCCGGGGGCCACGGGCAGCGACCAAAGGAAGCGGCCCAGCCGCTCGATGTCGCCCGTCTCCTCCAGCGTCTCGCAGACGCTGGCCACCTGCTCCGGTGAGAAGTTGAGGGTGGGCAGCTGGAACATGGACAACTCTTCCGGGGGGGCCCTGGAGCCGCCGCCGCCGCCGCCGCCGCCGCCTGCTCCGCCAGCACCGCCGCCTCCCGCACGGTTCCCGCCGCCGCCTCCTCCCGCGCCGCCGCCGCCGCCCGCACCGCTCCCGCCGCCGCTACTCGCCAGAAGTAGGGAGCAGTGGTGAGAATCGGCGAAGTTTGGCAACAAGAAGTGGGAGGAATAGAGGTCTAGGGGGGAGCGGAATACCATGGACTGACCTGAGAGGAGAGGAGAAAATTCAGGGAGAGGAAGAGAGAGGGGAGGAAGAGGAGGAGAGGGGCGATGAGGACCAGGAGGAGGGAGAGGAGAGGGGGGAGGAGGAGATGGGAAGGAGGGGGGAGCAGAAGGAGAAGGAGGGGGAGGAGGAAGGACGTAAGGGACACCCACACCCCACACACATCCACATACACACACACCCGCGCAGCCACATAGAGAGGGAGGAAGGAGAGCGGCCCGGTGCGCGCGCGCAGAGAGAGAACCCGAGGCAGAGAGAGGGAGAGGGAGAGAGAGAGAGAGCAAGAAGAGAGCGAGAGGAGAGCGAGAGCCAACCACCGGCGAGTCAAGATTCAGCGATTCCACAGCAATCGCCCTAATGACAACAGCCTCATAATATCTCCCCTAAATCCACAGTGAGTGCAGCATTGAAACATTTTGTTTCGCTTTTCTATTGGTCTGTGGCGTGTCGTTGTGGCGTTGCCACGGCAACCACTGCCAATCACTGTCAGCCCTGCCAATCAATACCGAGAACGTAAGGACGGTTTTACCACTTAGCCGGAGGGGAGGGGGGAGGAGGAGGGAGAGGAAGGCGAAACAATTAAAAAAAAAAAAAAAATCTTTGCAACTCTTAATATCCTCTCTCTGCGTCTGTCTCTGTCTCTCAGTCTCTCTCTCCTCTTGCTCAAGGAAGTTGATCCAAAAATTCTAAAAGGACTAGATGTAGAGTAGTTAGATGAGACAACCAATTAGTTACAAGGAGTGTTTTGGGGAAGTGGCTCCCAGCCTCAGGAGCAGCCTGCAGCTGAGGACCAGGTAACCAAGGTTTGCACACAGTGTCTGTCTTTCTGTCTATGTGCGAGCTAATAGTGATAGAGAGAGGGGGGAGGGAGGGAGGGGGAGAGGGAGAGGGAGGGAGGGAAGGAGAGAGAGAGAGAGAGAGAGAGAGAGAGAGAGAGAGAGAGAGAGAGAGAGAGAGAATGAGGCCTTTTGCACACTCAGCCTAGCAAGCCGCCGGGTGAGCGAGTGAGCTTAGATTTGGGAGACAATATGTGGTACCCAGGAGGTTGAACCCAGGACCTGTGAAGGCTTTCCTGGCCAGTGCCACTGAAATACATTTACCCCGCTTTCTTCCTTGCTGAATGCAGTTTTTTACTCAGCTCCCAGACAAGGGTCAGTGAATTCTTCCATCACCTAGTATTTTAAAATAACAAAAACAGCACTACACTTTCTCCATCTTCAAAAGCAATCCCACCCTTTGTCTCCCCATCCCTAGATGCCTCCCACGGTTGTAGGGAAGCAACAGGAACCGAAAAACCTAGGGGATCTCTGGACCATGGGGAGTTTGGAGAGTGCCCACTTTTCCTACATCCATGGGCACAATCACTGGGCCTGCCCTGCATCCTCAGAAAGAAGCTGAAACTGTAGGGGGCACCATGAGTAAACACCCAAGGCCTGAAAGTTCCTTGCTTGTACATAATGTAAATAACAATGATAACAAATAATAAAAATCTAATTTCTTCATAAGGTAATATCACAACCCCTAAACAGACTCCCTTTCGTCCAAAGAAAGAAGAGGGCCTTCCTTGCCTGCGGGGCACCAGGGTCCCCAAGCCAGCCAGGGGCATTTATTCTTAGGTATGTTGCTTGTGAGAAGTTGTAATCTGCATCTTGAGTCCAGCCTCCCTTTGTAAGGCTTCTGTAACTATGGAAGTGTGATTTACGCAGATTTGTCCGGGTCAGAGACATCTTTCCTTACGCACTGTGTATATTTAGACAGGATTCGGTTTGGTGTTAAAAAGTGTATATGTTGAATGGATTCACACACAGTAGCCAACAATGCCCACATTGTCGGCCCATGTACAACGCGTATTGAAACGCAGCGCCCAGACTTCTACTAATCTGCTCTCAATAAAGCTGAAATAATTATCCTAAGCTGCCTTTCCAGAAGAAAAATCATTGAGGAATTCAAAACTTTTTTTTTTTGAAAAAAAAAAAAAGAAAAAAGATCTTTTCTACATTCCGATGCAGATCTGGGGGCGCGGCGCCGGGTACACACCACTCGGGAGATCTCAATGAGGGAGGAGTGAAAAAAAGATTGTGGGAGAGTTTAAATGCGAGCCTAACTGGAGCCTGGAGCTAAAATGGTCGCTGGCCCTAAATCTCCAGCTTGGGTCTTTCTTAGGCCTTGATCCAGTAGCGCCAGGTTTTAAAGGGGCTAGAAGTGAAAACCCGGTTTGAGGGTGACAGCAGTGTTTGGGCTGGACTAGAACTATGCTAGCTGGAGGCAGGTGGGGAACCTAAATTCACTGACTGGGTGGACGAATGTTTTCCCTAAAAGGTGGATCCGTCGAGCCCCACTTTGGTTCTCTCTCTCTCTCTCTCTCTCTCTCTCTCTCTCTCTCTCTCTCTCTCTCTCTCTCTCTCTCTCTGTGTGTGTGTGTGTGTGTGTGTGTGTGTGTGTGTGTGTGTGTGTGACACACACATCTTTCTGTGGACCAGGAGTCCTTTTCCGCTCAGCTGCGAGGCTCTGGGCGGTCGCTCATTGCAGGCCCAGAAAGAGCCCAAAGGTTGGGACACAAAAACAGACACTTCGTCTTTTCTTCCCGACCCCTTTCTCTTATAGGGGAAGGATTATAGGCTGAAAAGTGGGAGGGAGAAGGGGCAGGAGGAGGAAGCGGGGGAGGAAGGAATGAAAAAGGGGAGGGGAGTGGGTATTGTGCCGCGTGGGGGGGGGGGAGAATTCCTACGGGTGGGTTTCCGAATATTGTGTTCAACTTTTTGAAAGCAGCTCGTGACCCCGAAACTGCATCCCCCGGAGCCGGGGACCCAGGCGCCAGGCGGGCGGGTGAACCCGGCCAGTCCCTCCCAATCCTCGCAACCCCCCGCCTCCGAGTGGGGGGGACACAGGCCTGGAGGGAGGCTGGGCAGGTGCCGCGGGCTGTGCCGAAAGCACTGAAATCGAAAACCCTCTCCACTCAGGAAGAATTGAGGCAAAAGGATTGCGGACTTTGCTCGGGAGCAGTCCTGCACTCCAGCCACTCGGCAGTTCGGTGGCGGCCGCGCCTTTCGAGCGCTAAGCCGGGAGGAGGGCTGCAGGAAAGGCGCACAGCTCTGCGTGCGCCCCTACCCTGGCCGGGCCTGCAACAGCCCAGGACTGTGGGAGAGCGTCTAGCAAAACTGAGTTCTGCACCTCCCTTTGAGCCCACCTCCGGCCACACCGCCACCAGCACTTCTCTGGCGCAGGCCGGAAGCACTACGCTGCTTCCAATGCCGGTAAGTTGAGAGTCCTGAGAGCTGGGCAGGGAGGCGGGGCAGATAGTCCCCGGTGCTTATTGCAGGACTGGATCCCACTGGGGATCCACAGAGTCTTGATCTGAAAGGTTTAGGTGTGTGCATTTTCCGGGGGGGTTGCTGTGGACCTCTGGAGTTTTCCCAAATTCCCACGCACTGAACACTGGCGAGAAGGGCCGGTGCCGATGACCCAGGTTGCCTTCTTCGCTGGTCAGGGGTGGGTAAGGCCGAGAGCTAGGAAGAGTCGGTGGGACGCTGAGGATCGCCTGCACCCCAATACTCTCAGAGCCGCAAGACAGGTGTGAATTAGCCTGTAGGGCCTCTAGATCTCTCTTTCTGGCCTCTGAAACTCAAGAATCTGGGACTTAGTGTATCTACCGTCACCTGCTCAGACAAAATTGCCAACACCTTCAACCCCGGCCCACCGTATCTTTGGGTCAGAGTTCAGCTGGTGCGGAGAGAAATGGTAACACTTGAACCGGGGAGTGTTCTGTCCTGCTCTGCCAGGCACTTATTTACAGCCTCTGTATAATCAGGGGACTTTGCTGGAACCCCACTCCCTTCTTATTTGGTACGCCAAGGGTTCCGCAGGTCTGCAGGAGAGCGTGTCCCAGAGGGCCTGGGACAGCTACTCCTGGTTCTCCTTGCTCAACCCGGAACTGCCAACCCAAATGGTCAGTAAGATTGGTCCTGGGGGGTACGCCTCTTCCGGGCTGTGGGACGTTGGAAGACGGAGATTGCTGGGTAGCGGGTGGTCTGGGCCTCCCCGCAAGTTGCAAACGAAGAAGCTTGGCGCAGGCCGCCAGGGAGGGCGCAGGGGAGCTCAGTACTCGGGCGGGGAGGCCTCGAAGCCCTTCAAGGACCCCCGATTACTTTCCTTTGAACAACAACAACAACAACAACAACTGCTCCCTCCCCTTAGTTCCCCTCCCTTCCTTAGCCTCCGGGGATCCTGGCTTCAAGCAATTGTCGCTCAGGACAGTAAACACAGCTCAGTTGCCTCAACTTTCCCGGTGCATAAAAGTTCCCGGCGTGAGGGGAAATTTGAATATTTGATCAGCCCCTTTGAGTGACCCTCATTAGCCTGGCGCCCTGCTAAGGCCCCAGCATTGCAAGAAAGCTGCTGGGCCCGGCATTTGTACGCCTTGTTAGCGCTGCTTAATGAAGCCGCCCCGACGGCTCAAAGGCGGCCTCTGGGGCCGGCAGCGCGCACCTCAAGGCACCCCGCTCTGCCTAATGAGCCCCGCCGCCCGCTAAAGGCCCTTCCACCCCCCACATCCTCAAACAAGAGCGGTTTGGCTCTATCTAGGACCTGAACACCTCCCACAGCCAGGCTCAAGAGGGTGGGCACAAACCCAGTTTAGCTGGCTACACAGTGATCTAGCCCCAGGAGAAAGGTGTTAGAACTTGGGGGAGAGTTCCAGCGGTTATGTGTACCTGAAAGTAGGGAGGTGGATATTTACAGCTTTTGAATCTGGTTCATCATCCGTGTGTATCACGAATTTTCCCCACAGAGCCAGCTATAAATCAATTAGACACCCCAGTTCCTGAAAGGTTCATCTGGACGAGAGCTGGAATGGCAGACGGGTAGATACACACACAGCTTTCTGCCTCCCTTTCTCAAATTCCTTTGGTCTCATCTCCCCAGGAGGCCTCACATTTCTTTCCACCAATCATCCGACAAGTAGAACCCCGGGCCTGCATCTGAGAAAGAGTGGGCAGGTTCAGCTCCCTAAACCAACACCGTTGGCGCCTCCACAGAGCCCACAAAGTGAAATGATAGAACCTGTCAGTACTGATGAAACTTGGGCGCCAGAGCCTGACTTGGAGGTTCGCATTTGCCTTCATACTACTCCTCTGATCTCGCTTCAGTCATGTGTCTAGCCCTGGAGAGACATGAAGAAGGTACACTAACTAGCAAGGCTACTCTCTTTGGACAAACCTGGAGGGCATAAGAGAGGAATTTTTGGAAGGAAAGTGGAGACAGACATTCATTATGACAACCATCTATTTCTTTTCTTCTCTTTTTGGGGCAAGGGACATGGTTGACTAGTTATTATTTAAAAAAAAAAATCTTTAGAAACTGTACTTCACTCCTTGGGAAGAATTGGCTTTCTCCCCTTGCCCCCTCTCTCCTCCATCGTCCTTTCCCCCTGGACGTTTGGAACTCAAGGTCCCCTCTCACTCCTTTCTTGGTCACCTAGCTCGTGGATCTTTAAATGGGGTTTGGGAACAGGGAAGTCAGTTCTTGATCTTCTGGACGCTCTAGTCTCCATTTGCTTACAGGCCCCTCCGCCCCCACTGGGCAAGATGACTTGCTAACCTCAGGAACCCATTCAAGGCTCGCTTTCACCGACCAATGAAGGCCAATTTGGGTTCTGGGGTAGCGGAGCCTCAGAGTCCAAGTCCATCTGACCGGCTCCTCCTCCCTTACCTTCTTCCATTCAGCTCCACTCCTGGGCCCAGCCCCTTTTCCATTCCACGACCCCCTAAACCAAGCCCGGGTAGACATACTAAAATCATCTCTGAGCCGGGCAAAGGTAGTGGCCAGGTCATGATCCATTCAAAGGGCAAAAGCAGAGCGGGTACTCTTGGAGTGAAGGGGGACCTAAAACGGAGGGTAGAAGAATTCAGTTCGCAGCTCCACCGGCTGCTCAGGGGAGGAGGCGAAAGGAGGGGTTTGGGAGTCTGCGGGCATTGGGTCGGGGCAGCAGGGACTTCAGGCGTCGGCGTGGGGGGCTAGATCCGGAGGAGAGGGGAGGGGTGGCGGGGGTCGAAGGAGCACGCGGGGCGGAGGGGTGTGGGGCTCTTTAAGAGCCACACGGCTAGCAGGAGAGGCGTGCGGCCCTGTGCTGGTAGCGCACTGACCCCGAAGGGGATTTAGCGGGAAGGGAGCGACCGGGTTCTGGGGGCTTTGTCCCGGGGCGCCCAGAGAGGCCGAGACACAAGAATAAGAAGCGCCTGCATCATGAAAGGCTGCAAGGAGCGGCGGCGCTGCTGCTCTTGACTTCTGAACACGGCTTAGAAGGCCTGCCTGGGTTTAAGCTGAACTGAGGGTGCTGAGCCCTGAGAGCCGAGTTCACCCGCTCAGAGTTCCTGGCCTCTGAGCTGAGGAGGCCTGGGATGGGGACCGATGTTGAGTCCTGGGACTTCTAGCAAAGTCTCCACTTGGATCTTACAGCCTTGCGACCCCAGCGCAGGGCTGTCTGTGACCCTAACCTGCCTCGCCTAGCATGGCCAAAGAAATTTATTTTCCCAACTTGGCTTTTGTTTTTCTGTGTCCACCTCAGGCAGAACCGGAGCTGGCTGACCCCAGACTGATTCTCAACAGGTGGCAGGGTAAGTCTGCTTAAAGAATTCTGTGTAAAAGCATCAGCTCCTCCCCGACCCCTTCCCTTTCCCCTCCCTCTTTCCCCTTAGGCGGGTCCGAGTTCACTGGGCTCCTCCTGCCAGCGGTGGCAAGGGTGGAGGGTTGCTACCTTGGTGGGGAGCGGTTCTGGCTCCCAGTCCCTGGTTAGTGGATCCCTTGTAAAGTTAACCCCAGTACGCGGAGTCCCAGTCATGGACCATCTCTCTCATCTCCTTGCACTGAGCCCCTGCGCCCCAAGAGGGGGAAAGAGGCAGAGCGCACGGCAGAATCTCAAGAGCCGAATCTGCGGAAAGGGGGCCGAATCTGCGGGAAGGGGGCCCAGGGATCCCTGACCAGCCGGCTCGGTGTAGGGGTTACTGCGGAAAAAGAACTCTCCGTCCTCTTTGTGAGAGATGCGCGAGCCTGCCCGGAGGGGTGCGCGCCGGAGGCAGAAAGCAGGGCAGATGAGCCCTTGGCAACCAAGGGCGCGGTAGGGTGGGGGAGGAGGTAGAAGAGCCCCAAAGATTGGGGGGGGGGGACCAAAGAAAGGCAAAGGCAAGAGATTCAGGGCATCCGCGAGGAAAGTCCGAAAATGTCCTTAGGGAGTACCTCGAGCAGACGCGCACTCGGGGGCGCATGCTCTCTCTCTCTCTCTCTCTCTCTCTCTCTCTCTCTCTCTCTCTCTCTCCTCTCTCTTCTTTCCTCTCCTTCCTCTCTCCCCTCTCCCCCCATTCCACACAGGTAGCCCCCACACTGTTGGTCATGCGGGTCTCATCGCACACCGCGAAGCCACCATACCCCACTCCTCACCCCGGCAGCCCAAAGATTGACCACCCGTGCTCCGGGGAACTGGGATGACCCCCCAGGGTAGGGGAGCAGGGAGGATCTTACCTGCGGAAAGGTAAGAGAAGCCGGGAGCGTGCAGCAGCGGCGGATAAATATTCATTAGGAAGTGTAAGTCCTTTCAAAGGGCTCTGCGCGAGCGCTGTCGCTCCAATCTCTCTTTCCCTCTCTCTGTCCTCCAGGAAGGCTCTCCCTCCAGGAGCTATCTCACCCACCCCACCCCCCCTTCCTGCGAAATGCCGGGTGGATCCTAGGCTAACTAACCTGTTGGGAAGCCTGAACTGCGGCAGCGCCTCTACAGCTAGCTGTTTGCTTTCGCTCTTGGGGCGCGCGTTCCCCCATCCTCTCCCCTCCCTCCTTTCGCCCAGCCCCTCACCCCTCCTAAATTACTACATCATTAGCTTTATTGGGGGGGGGGAGTAACAGAGCAGCCAGACGCACCTCTCCATAGAAGGGTGAATAGTTGGTGCCCCGTGATGCAACCCCAACCCCATCTCCACCTCTCACCCATCTGCACATCTTCACTTAGTCTAGCTTCTTCCCTCTTTGACATCTCCCTCCTCTTATCAACTCAACTCCCTCAGCAGCTTTCCCTCCTTGTGCCCCCCCCCCCGCCAATCCAGATCACAGATTGGGTCGAGAGTGAGGTGGCAAGGCAGTAGGTCCAAAGTCCTGTGTGTCGAGGTTAGAATTCTTCCCTGCCATGGGTATGGGGTGGTTATCTGGATCTCCATTTCCCATGTAGGGTTTCCCTCCTGACCCTGCAAGGGCTCGAAACAGCTTGGACTTATGCAGTGAGCATTAAGAACTTCAGCCTTACAGATCTCAGGGCCCGGGGCCTGGCCCCAGTCACTCGGCCAGAAAAGCTGCTTGGGGGTGGGGGTAGGTGGGGATAAGTGGTTTCACTCAGTGCGAACCTGTAGGAAAAACTCACAGGCCGACAGTCGGACTGATACTCGTCCTTTAGGGATACACTGCCTGAAGTTAGTCTCAAGTCAGCTCCGATCACCGAAAAATCACGTCTAGAAGATTCCGCGAAGCCACTTCCAGTTGCACGTGGGCAACACTCTTCCCGCCCCATACCTGCTCCCTAGCAGGCAGGTGAGAACACTAACTGCCTGGGCCCTAGAAGAGAAGTCGGTGGAGGAACACATCACTGTGGGTTGTTTAGAAACCCGTAATCACAGCTCTCAATACTCTGGCCTTTGCTATCCAGGCCCTTAGGTCCCTCTCGGGACTCTAAAAAGTGCCTTGATCCCAAGGTACCCAGGGCAGAAAGTGACTCAAGCTCTGACCCTCACGCTGGGCGCTTAGAGTTGGGGGTGAGGGCTAGAGGAGGAGCCTAGGGGGCGGGTCCTTATAGTTTGCTGCCCTCAGCGCCGTGGCGCCGCGGGTGCCAGGAAGGAGAGTTTTGCCCCTTAACTCTTTGAGGGCTTGCTTGGAACCTCCCTGACTACTGGGCCACTGCTCCCTCCTGAGTCCCAGGACGACACAGGATGTGTCTAAGTGGCTAAGAGGCCTGCAGGCTTACGCCTAGAGCTGGAAGTCTCTCTCTCTCTCTCTCTCTCTCTCTCTCTCTCTCTCTCTCTCTCTCTCTCGGTTGTTTGGAGCTATTGTCTACGAGGAGACGTTGTAGAGGCTGGTCTCACCCCTTCCTGCATCCATGCTGTGGGATGGCAGAGGGTCGCTCCTTCTTGAAAAGGGTTACTACTTAGTAGGGTAGATACAGAAGGGTGTGAAAGAAGCAGGATGCTTGGGACTGGTAAAACTTACCAAACTTACAGCCCACCCAAAGTCAGGGACCTATCTTTGTACAACTCTACCAAACACAGATCTCTGGGGTCATGTAAAGGGACCCTAACAAGAGAGCTGGAGGAATAGGGAAGTGTCCACAAGCATGGGTCAAATGCATGGATACACACCCAATTATCTAGATGCAGACAAAAGCTACAGTGTGGAGTGACCCCAGACTCATGTACAGGAAGCCAAGGAGAGGAGGCTCAACTAGAATGCGGTACTTCCTGCAAGAGGTGTGCTGGCCTGGGGGGAGGGGAACAAGAAACTCTGTTGAATCTACTGGAAGTAAAGTTGCAGGCCACATTCTGAAGAAAGAGCCAAGGAATCAGAATCAGCTACCCCAGAGCCTGCCTTTAGACTCTCCTTCCTGCTCTGTTGGAGACACCCAGAAGAGGGCAATGCAGGAAAGATTCCCTTTGGCTCGGTTATTTCTTTAGGGTGTTGTCTTTTTCGCCCTTTGCCTGGGAGAGTATGCCCTGGAGTAGGGCTTGAGTAGACAGAACAGGCAGCCTTCACCAGGTGACAAGAAATTCTCAGTTTCCAGTGGGAACAATCAGTTAGGAAGATGCTCCCACATGAGGAAAAGTCCTGGCTGATCCCCTTTTACTTTCCTCTTATATTCTGAGATTTGGCGAGAACTGTAGCAATCCCTATCCAAGCACATCAAATAAATCTGCAAGGAATGTGCTAGAGCAAGCTAGATTACTTTTTTTAAAACTAATTTTGTTTTGTGGAATATTGAGAAGTCTTCAACCACTGCTCCTCTATTTCAGGCAGAGATTGAGGCCCTGGCCTAACTGAGCCTACCAAATAGGGTTTCCCACAGTGGTTTGGGGACTAGACTTAAGTAACTGCTTTCTCTGTCACCTCCTTTGCCTGTTGAGTCCTGGACAATACTGCTCCAGTTCCCTAGAGATGAGGCAGGGACTGTTCTGAGCAATGGTGTCCTTCTCCTCGGTCCCATCTTTCCAACTTGCTGTCTTGAGCTTGAACATAAAAGGGCTGCAGGGAAGAGGGAAGAAGGGAGTGGGAGGGGGTGCTAGCTTCTGGGCCAACGAGCTCAGGAGCAAAAGGAGCTCCTGTTCTAAAGAAGAAATGACCCCCAAACACTGCTGCAGGGCACACTGCAATGGGTGTAACTGTCCACTGAAGAGACAGAGAGGTGGCTGGGACTAGGGAGAATTGTCTTCCCTTTTCCTGCGCAGTTCTTTTATTTTTCCAAGACACACTTAGTTCTTGGCCATTTTAGTGAGTTTGTTCTTGTCTTTGCGTTTTGAATAATAAATTGTGAAAACCACCCCAGAGTCCATGTAACCTTAATCTTCACTGGCAGAACAGTTGTTTCCAAAGCTATCTTCTCCAGGTTGTCTTTCTCTCACACCCACATTTGAATCACCTGCTGATGCTCCTCTGGAAGAGCCTGTGACCAAAAGAGTGAATTGAATAAGGAAGTGACATCCTCAGATCTAAAGGGTGAACTTTCCTCCCTTCTAGCTAAGATTCAGAACACAAAGAAATAAACCGGCCGCCTTCAAACATTCCCTGCCTCTTTGGGTAGCTTAGAGCCTTTCTTACAAGGAATCACAGCATTTTAGCTGGAAGAGTTGTAGCATTCACTTCTCAAGCAAAGATTAACTATTTTCTTCTAACCCCAAAAGCTCCACATACTTCACATGTCATAATTTATTTTTCTTTCTTACCTTTGTCCCTTCTGAGCAGGACACAGAACTAGGTGCAAAACTTCGGAGATTTGTGACCTCTTGGTAGCACCCACAAACATTAGGTTTTGTTGTATAGTGATAAATTCTTTCTTATATGTCAATGATGTATGTATATACATATATGGGTTTCTATTGGCTTGCCCACACTTTCTCAACAAACTCTTGCTGCCTAGATAAAGCAAACCATTTCCTTTACCCAGGGCAAAGGGCTAAACGTCCTTGTGGCTCTAGAGTTGGCATAGGATATTACTGGTTGTGTGCATGTGGGTGTGTGTGTGATATGACTGCCATTATCTTCAACAATAATTAAAATAACCAGACACCCCTTCAATCCTTTCCATAACAGTGTCAACGCTCTAGAGATATCGTCTCACCTCCCAAGGTGTCTTCACTGCCAGAGGGCTTAAGCTCTCTGCCGCAGCCCAACACTGGGCTCGCACTCAGAGAGGAGGTACTCCGACGGAAAAAAATCCCATACATTTTTAACTACAGTGATTACTAAATTAATAGCAGGCACCAAGACAGATGTCAAAACGTCTTGAAAATGTTTATCTGTGAATAATTGAGAAGGTAGTGGGACGCATTATCTGATTGTGTAATGAAATATGTATGAGGAACAGCTGTTTGCAACAGCCCCTTCCTGCTGCAGCCTTAGCCAGGGCCCTTCTCTTGCAAGCAGGAGTCTTCAGTGAAGTTGCTCACCCACTTTCTTCTACCTGGGAGTTCACGAGCTTCTTCCCTGGCTTCTCTGCACGGCTGTGGCTATTAGTAACCCCTGGAGTCGCCTGGTTCTATGATGGAGGGGATCTACACAATTTCCCCTCTGCCTTGGTTGGTTGGTGTTCACGGAGGGGTGCAGCTTCGCTGTCTGCAGCTCTGGCCATCGTGCCTTCGGGCCCGGCTGCCCGCTGGGTCTCCATGGATGCGGGAGAGCAGGCGAAGTAGCAGCTTGTAGCAGCGGCGGCTACAGCGGCGGCCCCGAGCCCTGGGAGCACCTGGCGTGGGCTGGCCGAGCTGCGCGACCCGGTCAGAGTAAAAGCCCAAGAGCCCCACGACTCAGCGGGGCGGGTCTGGGGTCATTGCGGGGTGACAGGACTGGGGATCTGGCTTTGTTTCCCTCTCTAGCCACACTGCACACTTCCTTCCAGCCCCCCAGCCAGCCTCCAAGCCGCTGAGCCCTGGCCCTGTTTGTTTTTCCAGCTCAGAGCCCTCCACCCCGACGCACAAATAGCCCTCGAGGCTGCGTCAGCCGACCCAGGCGGTGGCTCAGCTCAGGCCGCAGTCTAGCCTCCGCCTCGCTGCGAGTTCTGGCCCCGCAGGAAGCAGTGGGGACAAGAGGGCTCCGGGGTCTTCCTGGAGTCAGAGGGCGCGAGGAACATAGGGAAGGGGAGTTGGCCGGGAATGGTTCAGGACCTCAGCGGGTTGTCAAGGCCCAAGATCTGGGCTCAGAGGGGTGCTTGTGACTTGAGTGGTGGATCCAGGGCTTGCGACGCCGCCAAGGAATGTGGACAGCCGTGGAGCTAACAGAAGGACTCCACGTAGGACCCCATCAGTCATAAGTACAAACCCAGTGACCCCTGTGAGTTTGCTGTCCCCTTCACCTCTTGCAGGATGTTTCGCAAGGCAATGGAGCCGTGTCCCTGGCGCCGCGCTC